GGGCTGGCCCCCTACTCCAGAATGAAAATACCAGCAGCCAGCAGAGCCCGAGTAAACAAACGATCCGCTGGGAGAGGAGTGTGCATCTTTATAAGGTTAATTTGCCCCAGCTAGGAGAGAGACAGGCATTTCCTCGTGGCTAAATCACTCAAAAAGCTCAGGCAGCAGCAGCACTATCATCTCCTGGGTTTGATTTATAAACCCTGATTGCATTACTAGCTCATCTACATGTAAAATAATTATGAATATCTTGTCTGTACTCTGCAGAGTGCTAAATTACCAGGCTCTGATATTCATCAGCTCTTTGAAGCTTAAACCAGCCTGAAATTCAGAGGTCTCCCCTCTCAGTGACAGGAGAGGCAGGAAGGAAAGAGCTCGGGTTTGATCCTTGTGTTTAGCACAAGCTGGTGTGTTTTAACACCCCGATACCCCAAGTGCTGGGAGCAGGTGGCTGGAGGCTGCTTGAGCCACAGGGCTGGGGAGCCTGCATGTGTCAGAACCCTGAGCCCTGTTGGTATGGAGCAGTTCCATTTCCAAACAAAGGAACTGATAACTCCCAGCAGGACTGGAAGCCTGTTATCACGGTGCTGATTACAATTTCCTCTGCAGCCAACAGGCAGAGGAGGAGTGTCATCAGTGGGGAGATGTGTTCCATCAGTGTTTAACCCTGCTGGGTGCTGATTCATTCAGCACAGGGGAAGGGCTGCCCAGCCTGGCTGTGTGCTGGAAAACTAGCATGCAAAAACCCAGCAGGAAGATCCACAGCCAGGTCCCATCCTCCCACCCCATCTCCTCTGGCTCACCATGCCCTCTCTGCTCCCCCTCTGGGGATCCACACTGCTCGAGTCTGCACGGTAGCATGGCACATGGGACAAGGGGGATGCCAGTGGCACAGCCAGTGGCACAGTGGTGGTGCTGCTGCATGGTGTCTTCCCTCTCTGCCCCTGCAAGGCACATTTGAGCCTGCAGCACCAGCCATCCCAGCCCCAAGTGCTCTGCCAGCAGTCCTGCTGCTTGCTTGAGGGGTCACCTCTCACACAAGGGCCCGCACAGGTACCTGAGGGCCAGGAGCACCACAGGCCCATTTTAAGGCAGCCAACCTTGAGCACACCCCTTTGCTAGCAGTGGCCAGACCCCAGGCTGACCCTTGTTGCCTCTTGCTCACCTCACTGTGCAGAAGCCCTGAGACACGTGGACTGGTTTTGATTTTCCAGTTTATTTTCCCCACCCCCAGCAAGACTGAGGCCTTTCATGTCAGGGAAGGAGCAGGGAAGAGTCCCACCACAGCTCCTGAGCCACTGCAGGTGCTGCCTTAGAACATCTGTTGCCAGACTGCCTTGAGCAGACTGTGAGCAAAGCACCACGTATCTCCTCTTTGACCCTCTGAGTTTCTACAAGAGACCTGAATATGTATTAACGTTTACCCTTGATGTGCTTTATTCCTTTACAGGAAGAGGAAGCGAAGGGCCCAAAATGCAGCTGGTTTTCCAGGGCTGCCTGGTGATTCAGGAGAAGAGTTGGGAGCCAAGCTTGGAGCATCCAGCCCCACCACACAGCAGCTCCCAGGACTGGAGCCCAGTTAAATGCAAGCTGCCTGGGGTGGAGGGAGTTGGAGGAGCAAAGCATGGTTATGCAGCAGGAGGCCTTTCCCTAAAGCCTATAAAATCACTGAAGGAAGGCCTGGATCTATCCACATTTCACCTGTGGAGCACTGAAATGGAAGTTTGAGAAGGGCTGTGTTTGTGCCATGGGGGAGTCTGACTGATGGTACAAACTAAGCAGTTGGCAGCCGTGTACACGGGCACTTGGAGGGTTATCAGGCTCCTGCAAAAGGAGAGAGCATGGGAAAACACATCCTGGAGGCTATCCTGAGTTTTCCTCTTTGCAGGTCAGAGATGATGCTACTTGTCCCCACCAGGCAGCTGTGAACAGCTGAAACAACAGAATCCCCTGGCTGGGGCAGCCCATAGTGAGCTGTGCTGGATGGGGGACAGCTGACAAGCTGGTGGGACATGGTGCTGCCCTGGCTTCATGGCTCAGTACGTCCTGCCCACAGCAGGCACCAGTTGCGGGAGAGAAATCATGCTGTCACTGAGCCTGGTGGAGAATTTGAGCTGGAAGCAAAAGGCCAATTGGAAGAAAACCAGAGGGTGCCTCCCAGATCTGCAAACCCTCCCTTCGTTGGCTCTGGGGCACCCATCCCGTGACAGGGAGAGTGAGAAAGCCCTTTCCCAGTAGTGGGGTGAACTACAGAGCCCTTCTTGGCATGTGAGGAGGCAGAAGGTTTGTTAGGGAGCTGCCAAGCCCTGCCTGTAAATGCAAAATTCATGAGGTGGGAGCTACTGAAACTAAGGGCCGGGAACTTGTGGTAGAAAACACGTGAGGTGGCTTCTGAAGGACTGTAGAAATGTTGAGCTTGTCCCCCTTGAGAGGATCAGTGTGCTTTCCAGTTGGGGTTATTAAAAACTGTGCCATGGGTGTGCCAAAAATCATGGGCCTGTGCTTGAGCCACAACTCCAAGGGGAGTGCTGGAAGGGTGCAACTCCAACAGCTCCTGGGGGCCTTCAGAGCTACCACACCAGGGAGCTCAGGCTGCAGGGCCAAACTGGCTTTTTCCTTTAAAAAATGTATTTTTGTAACAGGGAAACTGAGGGAGGGAAGCACCTTGGCCTGTATCCATAATGCATCTGCCCATGGAGCAACCCTGGGCTCAGACCCTGGTGATCCCAGGCTGCAACTCCAGCAGGGAATGGGCTACAATTGGGCATGGATTTGTGTTGGAGACTTCAACTACATCTGTGTGGTTTACTAGGAGAGATTGAGTCCCTGGACCATAAAAGCTAACCGTTCCTTCTTGTGATTTTTTATTAATAACAAATAATATGAGACCACAGTGAAGCTTCCCAGGACAGGGATTTCATAGCAGATAAATAAGGAAGCTTTGTTACATGTGCTGCAGTGTCATGCAAGGGCAGCTGACCAGGTTGGGGTGTAAAGCCTCCTGAGGTCCTGTTGGAGAGGTGTAAAAAGCATCTCTGGAGTGATGCTGCCCACAGAAAACAGCCCATGGAGGGAGGTATCATCTGAGCTACTCCTGGGTTTCTCCTTGCGGGAAACCAGCTATGTCCTCCCAAATGGAGTCACAGAAGAAACTTTGCCTTCAAGGAGCGTGGGCAGCCAGTATAATACCAGAGCAACAAGCTGCCTTTGAAAACTAGGGAGCACCATTACTACAAAATACACACCAGCACCAACCACTTTTGTCTGTAGAAGAACTGTTTCTGGCCTCTTTCTTGATGAGGACATTGCATGGAGCGGCAGACAGTGATCACCACAGGTTTGCAGCTCCTAGTGTACAACAAGGCAATGCTCCCAGGGACCTTTAACCCATGGAAAACACCAAAGATCCCGGAATAGGCTGTACCTGCTAGCTGACACCCGGCCACTGCTCTCCAACCTGAGGAGTACTGTGCCAAAACTAAGGTTATGGACTTCAATCTTTTCAGTGCTCCTTGGCCGCAGCCCAAAGTGCCACAAAAATTGCTTACAGCTCCAGGACAAGTGCACCCCTGGGCAGAGTGGGGCTTCACTTCAAGGGGTGACGTTCCCCAGGGCAGAAGAGGGGCTGAAGGTCTCGACAGCCTTGCTTAGGCAGTGCCATCAGGGCAGCCCAGCTCCACGCAGGGAATGCAAAGGGATGAGCTGAGATGCTGCAGGAGGTATCACCATAGGCAACTCCTGCCTCTGAGACCAGAGACTCCCATCATCACATCGATCCCTTGGGAGACTCCAGGCTCAACCCTCCTGCTCCAGCAGGGCTGGTTGCTCAGGGTCTTGTCTGGTTGAGGTTTGACAGTCTCCAAAGGCTGAGACCCCACCACCACCACTCCGGGCTCCTGTTCCAGCATTTTACTGCCTGCTTAGGGCAAAAGAGTCAGTGGAAGTGGAGTGCCATGAGTCAAAATGAAGGCTGCTTTCTGCAGGGCACGGGCACCCAGCGTGGCTGTGGCCTCTGGGGCTGTTTGGGGGCTATTGAAGGAGGGTCTCACTGATGGCACCTGGGGCTGTTCCCCTGCACCTGGCCCTGAGGGGACACGGCTGAGGGGGGACATGGCTGAGGGGGAACATGGCTGAGGGGGTGACATGGCTGAGGGGGACACAGCTGAGGG